GCTTTGGTTCTATCTTAGCCAAGTCTTTGTGTCTGTATGTGGCTCCTTTCAGCATTTGACAATCCTAATGACATTCCTTCCTTTTTATTCATATTCTTTCAAAAGGAGGCCCTCTCATCTTCCTTCTGCCCGTCTTTAGGCTCTAAATTATATATATATCATCAAGTGAATACTTGCTGCTCTTCAGAAATCTGATTATCTGAGGGGCCAGATTTGTTGCATGAATCCACAAGGGACACAGCTACATGCCTATTTATGTTTCTCATTTTTTTTTTTTTAAAGCTCTCAAGATTCTGTGTTTAGGGAAAATGTAACTGAGAGAGCACTGCGCCACCCTGGTTTTCCTACTGTCCCAGAAGCTAGCAAAGAGCAGAAAGGCGCCTCGGGTGTACGTGCTGCTGGGCGCCGCGGCACCCCGCGCCCGGCTGAACGACCCACGCTCGCTGCCTGCCTGCCCTGTCTGCTGAGAGGACAGCGACCCGAGTGGGCGCTGTCCGCTGCACGGAGCAGAGGTGCCCACGACACAGAACACATCCCCTCCATTCACATACTCAGGCTGCCCTTTTTACAACTACTCCTTTCCAATATACAGAACACTGAGAGAGGATGAATCACCATGTCCTCTTAAAGTCTCAAGTGGGGTCATTAAGAAGGGAAACTGGGGTGGAGCAGCTTAGGAACTAGAGCTAGCCCGTGCAGAAATGCGAGTGAGTCAATTGTGATTACTCCCATCAGAGAAGGTGGATTTAAAACAAACTGCTCCCTGGGATAGGCAGAGGAAACCGAGCCCCATCGCCAAGCTCTGCGGAGGGAGCCGACCCTGAGCAAGGGCGTCGCGGGTCCGCCACAGCCGGCGCGGCCCGCGGGCACCCTCAGCCCCGGGTAGTACCGCGTCCGGGAGGATGCAAGGACAAGGCCTTCTTATCTCTGCGGCCCCCAGGGAATGGAGAGCACTAAGAATCTTATTAGAAAGGGATGCTCAATTAGGGATTTCTTTCCTAAATTGCCTATTTCATGATAATTTTTTAAAAAATGACACACGGATTACGTTGAAGTTCTATGGGTGAAACCAAAAATTACAATTCTAGAGAACTTAATTGTGAAGTTCACTTTGTCTTGAGACCAGAAAAACTAGGTTTCTACAAACACCAGGATTTAAACTCCTAGGAGATTATGTCTGAGGTTGAGATAGGAGGTATAAATAGGGTATTGGGTGGTGGTGGTGGGGACGCCCACACAGCCAGCAGAGAGAGGAGACCATGAGGAAATGGCTGGGAAGGACACGTCTCGCTGGGCAAGACGTAC